CGGTGAATGAAAATGATAGCGCTTCTTAAATAATCACCTTTAAACACCTTAATCCGTTTGTAATACAAGTTACGTGAAGTAATGTTGAGCATTCACACTCGTGAATCTTAGTAACAAAAACCTCGCCGCCAGGCATTGCAGTCTCCGTAGGCCGACAGACTTGTTGGCCCCACAATTAATGTTGAGCTGTGGCCAACGGGTGGACGAAAATGATTTTCAAAAAAAGTACCTTTGAACACTTCATGACATCGAATCATGCATTTTGATGCCAGTCTGGGCGTATATTCCACGTGTGCGATTTTTAGACTGATGATAAGAACGGATTAGCCCTGAAAGCACTGCGCAGCGGTACTGGAATTCGGTGGTGGAACTGGGAGGGTAAAGGCAGAATATTTCTTTTTCGTGTTTCTGTAACTGTTAATATATCCAGAAGACAGGTTAGCACGGCGCCCGCCGTCTGGTGGCACTTGCAGAGACCGAAGCCGTTCGGCTTTACGGAAGCTGCAACCTAGGTCATCGCTGTCCTTGCCTTCGAGGTTGCGGGCGGGTATGCTCGAACCCTTTGATGTAATTTGTTATACTAATTCATTTTGAAAAATGAACGTTCTCCGGCAAACAAGGAATGGCCTTGTTGGTTTTCTTTTTTAAACGCATTTCGACCCACACCATTCAACAATAATGAGACCCCTGATTTCCTTCCGGGCAGGGGCCCCTTGAGTAGAACATCAGGGGCACATTACTGTCTACGGTCAATGACTGAAGGGCCATTCTGTCCCCGCACGAAGTGTCTTCTGGCTGTCAATCTGGCGACACGGGCGGGATCTCTTGGTCGACCTGAAGGTCATTAGAAGGATATATCATATCACACTGTTTTCCTCCATGACACAGGAGGCCTTCTGACACGCGCAGTTGGCCCCGGATCAGCACAGGAATCCTCATTGACGCAACATCCCTGGTCGCCGCAGGTGGTCCAATAATTGTCACACAGACCCGAATTCCACGTTTTTTGTGTTCTTCAGAGATATTGAAGACTCTCTGAACGTAAATTGCAGATGAAGTGGTGTCACAAATTTGCATAAACATGACTAAAACCCATGTTCGCCTCAAAATGTTCGAGATTCAATCACGACTGATTACTGATAAAAAGCTATGCAATGTGGTTTTGAACATGCTGTCTCGCAAGTCATAGTAACGACGGCCTCGAGGCCCGGCGTTACAGTCTCCATAGGCCGCGCGGCGTCGACGCTGCGGTTATGATACTACGCCATGGCCAATGACCGGACGAAAAAGATGGCGCATCTTGAGGAAGATGGTTGATGAACTAGGTAAATCAGCATTTATGTTTAATGCACTGCAAAAGTAAGCTATACAGAACCTTGATCTGAAAAGTGGAGGGGGCAGTTAACACTGCTACCCCCCCCACCTTGAAAAGTGGGGGGCATGGTCCCGTGCCCCCCCCCCCCCCCAGTTCCTTCACCCACAGCGAGAGGCGTTTATAAAGGCGCATCTTAGTGGAAATCCGCATAAACAAATAGCTCTTCTTCTACCTGAAGGCTGCTGGGATAGGGGACTGTCGCTCCTTTACGAGGGTGGAGGGGGACGTGTCCTCCCCCCATCCCCGGTGGTGCCGCCCCTCCCAGCGGCAGTCAATACTACTAATGCCGCGCAACGGTGACGCCGTGAAGACCGATGACATCACCTGCGGAACTGATGGCCCAGCTGAGGTCAGGTCACCAGTGACGTCGTTGCTGTGGGCACGTAGGTGGATTGGCTATTTTATCCTTCTACAAACGTCTTTCAAAGTCATTCCATGGAACTCACCGTCGCGTCTGAATCCATCACGCGTCCCTCCTGGCGGCGTTAATCATTAGAGCGACGTAGGCCCTCCTAACATCAAAAGTCAAGGTGACTCAAAAGACGGCGGATCGACGGAGGAGCGGCGCCTGGCAACAGCGTTGTCTTTCAGAATACCGATGACTTTAGCCCTTACCGTAAGACCAGGTCAATGAACTGTTGTACCACAAAGTGCGCGCGAGTCACCTTCCTTGGTTGAATGTATTCGCTCATCTAATATGCGTGCTGGCGGCGGGCCGGCCGAAGGAAAACAGAGTTGTTGGTTGTTGTATAGACGTTGTCAGACACATTTGGCCATGCACACCAAGGGTTTGTTGTCAATGCATTCATAGCACCTTTTTATTTCATAATCATACGACAATTTCATAAACAAAGTTCCACATAGTGCCATTCCTGCGAATAATCCACGAAAAGCTTCAAAAATGGCTAGCTTTGAGCCTGGTTTAGATTCGGCAATTTCAATTGACGAAGCATTCCAAAACACACACACACGCGCGCGCGCGCACGCACGCATATATTACACACACACACACACACACACACACACACACACACACATATATATATATATATATATGTATTATATATATATATATATATATATATATATATATATATGTGTGTGTGTGTGTGTGTGTGTGTGTGTGTGTGTGTGTGTGTGTGTTTGTGCGTGTGCATTGAGAAAAACACATGGACTTTGCGTGGTCAATACCCACAATAAACAGGGCTACATGTCCCCCGTGGCTTTCGGGATCCGATCTTTGCCGATAGTCCACAGCGTGTTGCATTCCTGATCGGTTTTGAAAAAGGCAACACTGTGCAATTACTGGCGAACCTATCGGTCGGGAAGCTGGCGGATCTGTTTGGGAGCTGCGGCCGGCACCTATGTCCGGGGCGTATGCATGAGTAAGCAATCGGGGGTGGGAATGGGTGGTGGATGAGAACATAATACATAATTTTTCCCATTGGTTAAAGAGGAACAGGACGTGCTGGTGATCAGCTGATCTTCTCGACAAATATTTTAGAACTCGACATTTATTCACATGCATATCGATGATTAAGAAATTGAAAGGGAGGGCAGATAAAAGGGGGGGGGGGGCAGATGCCCCCAGCGCTACCCTTGAATACCATCCCGCATTCGTCTACACCGTGTGGACAGTTCCACGCCTTCGCGTGCCTTGGTCGCTGAGATCCGACACCAGTTCTATGATGGCATCGAAACGGGCGAGCCATGATCGTGTTACCAAACGCACGAACGGGTTACCCAGGGGCGTCACTTTTTCAAACCGGTTCGGAGGGCCCAGCCGGTTAACCTGCTCTAACGTACCCCGGAAACGTGATCTCCCGCATTTGGCCAGTTATACCCGCGATCTCAATGCCATGGATAAAACATATATTACAAAAGCGGCCTGCGGTCTAGTTTCCATTTGGAAGCTGCCCCCCCCCCTCTCCGATTGTAAAGCCCTGCGTGTACCCATCTTCAAAAGTGTCTACATCAGCTTAGCCAAGAATTTTCAGAGGTGTAATCAATGAATTGCCGATGTGCAGCTTCCGTTTCTAGACTGAAAAATGTCCAACCATGCCAATTAACTGGCCATCGTAATTTAAAAGCCGCCGCATATTGCAGTCCATTTCTTGTCCCAATGCAGGTCAATTGCGTGAAACCTGCGAATAACTGCAGAATGTCCTAGCGTTTAAAGGAGTCGAAATGGAACAAATATGTTAGGCACCTACAGGGTAGCATACGGCACAAAATTAACGCGAACCTAAGGCGATATAGCCAGGTATGTACCTAGTGTGCCCACGTTCCAGGGAAATTTTCTGCATTCCGTTGGTCCAGTATTCCTTTTTTGCTCGTGCTTACCAGGGAGGGGGCTCAGAGTAGCATGGGGGGGCTAAGTCAGCATTGAGGGGAGAGGCTTGGGCCCCCGTGTATAAAGCGGCACCACTGGAGTGACACTGCACATGTTGATCCACGCCCTTACTCTTACGATCGTCCGCTCTTGCTCATCAGTGTGTCCTGCATCACTGCTACGCTGGATAGAAATCTGGACCCAGTTTTGGCAAACGTTCTCCAGTTTTTTGTAGGTCAAAATGTTAGAATTAATCCAATGCTTAAGTGGAGCCGTGGCAGTACTGCAATATTGCAGAAAGCACTCTTAATTGGACGGCTTGCAGGTAAAGACCGGACAGCTTATGCGCTACATCTTTTAAATGATTGAGCATCTTGTTTATGAAAACCACATTTGCATTCTTAACCACCGTTGCTTCCAATGGCTCGTCCCTTAACCAGATGCGGAAACAGGACTTGTCAGAGGGGAATACGCAAAATTGTGCCCCCCCCCCCCTGCCGGATTTTGGGAGTCAGTCACACCCACGCGCGTGCCACTGCATAGCCTTTGCAAATCCATTATCCATAAATCTATCAGTCCCTCCGCTTCCGCACACCATTGACAGCAGCAGCCCTGAACTAAGCGCCGACATTTTTTCCATCCCGAACTCAGAACCATTTCGTGTCGCGTCCTCATGATAGCTTGGTTGCCGGCATCTTCCTCTGTATTACGGCCAATGTCAGTTCTCCATCCCACATCAGGGTTAAGTACTCGCTTCAGAGCCATTACTGTGTACATTGTAATAGTATGACACATGCTGGAAACTGCACGCGATGCGCTTTTCTATGCATCACATTTTTATTTCGCAAAAATTCCAACAGTGACTCACTAGCGGCTGTCGTCGTTGGCCAGGTCTTTGGCATGACGAGTCACATTCGACAGACGGAGGCGTCCGCTCGCCCGGCAGCCCCCGTATCAACCCTTCTCCACACCGCTCGGCGCTCCCGCCCGTCAGCTGGCGGCCGCGGGCGGGAGGCCCGCCTCGATCGCTGCCTGCGGCGGCGACGCCGGCTCGGCCGCCGCCGCCAGCACCATGTCCAGGCCGCCCTGCAGCGCCAGAAGGCCGTCCAGGTAGGCGAGGTGCGCCTCGACGGCCGAGCGCAGCGCCTCCAGCGCCAGGTCGACGTCCGGGTCGCCGCGGCCGGCGCGCTCGCCGTACACGTCGGCCAGCACGGCGGCCGCGTCCATCAGGGCGGCCGTGAAGCGCGGCCGCGGCAGGTGGCGGCCGACGAAGCCGCACAGCCGGCGCAGCGCCGCGCCCTGGCGGCCGGCCACGGCGGCCGGCAGCGCGCCGCGCCGCATCAGCTCCTGCAGCACGGCCACCGTCCGCTCCGGCTGGCGGCGCACCACCTCGCGCTCCAGCACGGCATCCAGCGCCCGCGAGAACTCGAAGCGCCGCAGGTGCAGGTCGTACTTGTCGAGCTGGATACGCAGCGGTGCCGCGGCCGCCTGCCGACGAACGGGTGCTGATGAGCTCCGCCCCGCGGCGGGGGGGGGGGGGGGGTCACCAGGCGAAGGAGGCACGGCGCGATGAACGGTGGAGTCTGTACCGTAAACATGCACACGTGTCACCATGCATAGCCCTGATGATAATGCCAGGCCACGTCAATGTCACGTCACGGGATCTACGCCACACTGGAAGTAGGTTCTAGTGTTGGAGACTTAACGTCGGCAGTCACTTGGCAGCGTCTTGCTAATGAAGGACGTCGTGTCGCGCACGCATTCAAAATAGTCCCCATGCGATCACGGCACGGCACGCGATGTGTAAGTCACAGCAATGCGCTACACGATGCAATGACAACCCGCTGCAAAGAGTAAAAATCACGAAACTGTCTTGTCATCAGACCTGCCCTCCAACCGTTTGCCGAAACGCGGTCATAAAGCGTGTACTCTAATGGAGCGTGAAACTCTTTCTGAGCCCACAATCTGGCAAAACGCCTTGCTCGAAACAAATACTTCACCGATGGTTCACTTCAGGTACGTACATGCAACACAAACCTTAAATGATCACATCTTACGTGCCACACCAGCCTCAGATTGAAAAGGAACCACAAACAATTTTGTTCAAAATAGTCTGTGTTCTGATGCGGCTGACGTAAAATAGTTCTAAGCAATTTATGTAAATTTGGTATGCTTGCGGTTGTTTTCGCCCGAAATGATAGGGCCAGCAAAGCTTGCATAATCTCCATTTGGTTACGAGGGCAACAGATATTTGGGTGTCAAAAGGCTGACTTAAATGAAGTCAACCAAAGATACGAGAGTATGATTCGACATCTTAATCCACATTCGAAGACGAAAATTTCGAAATACTGTTTTGGCGATCCGGCCCACTGAGCAGTAAATTGCTTCAGACAAATTCTTAATAACCACCTATTCTTCCACTTCTTGTCAGCACCTTCGCTTTAGCGCATTAAAATTGGACCCATAAAAAGCAAGGCGGCGTAGGCATGCACATACACACACACATATCAACAACGTGAACTTTCAGATGGCAATGATCATGTCTGTCCCACCCCGGACCATACCCTTCCCCCATGACCTGATGGTCCCCAGGCGCGCCGCGGATCGGCCGGCGGTCGCTCTCACCGCGCTCTCCTGCTCGGAGCGCGCCGGCTGGCTGATGGTGTCCTGGCGGTGCCGCAGCGCGCGCCGGCCCGGCCGTCCGGCCGGCACCGCCGCCGCCGCCGCCGGCGCCTCCTCCCGCCGCCGGTCCTCGATCGAGACCAGGCCGTCCGCCATGCCTACCACGATCTTGCTGTCGTCCAGCTGGGGGCGCCGCAGAACGCGCCGGGGTCAGGTGCCGGGCGCACAGGCGGCGGCCGGCAGTGCGCTCTTCGGCCCAGCTCGGGCTACCGAGCTCAACAACGCCAGCAAACGGACACGTTTCATAGGTATAAAGACCAACGTGAGCAGCGAGGGGAGCGCTCCAAACATTGAATGATCAATCCAGAAGAAGCTGGACACATACTCCAGGGCGGCTGCAAATACCGACAACGGGGTACGACTCCGACGTTTAAGTCTGCTTGATCCGCGCTCCGTCGGCGTGAGAAAGGAGTCTGGACACGACACGAGCCTAGCTACGAGACGATCCTGATCTGGCGGCGCCCGCGCGCGCGTCTGAGACTCACCCCGATCGCCAGACTGAGCACCGGCGACGGGTACTCGAGCGTGTGAACCAGCTGGTAGCTGGCCGTGTCGAACAGCTTGACGCGCCGGTCCAGCGAGCCGGAGGCCAGGCGGCGGCCGTCCGAGCACAGCGACAGACAGGTGGCCGTCTTGCTGTGGTGGCTGAGTCGGCTGAGCAGGCGCCCGCCGGCCGCCAGGTCCCACACGCGTACCTCTGTGCCACCTGACGCGACGGAGGAGCGATAATGGTGACGTGACACGTGAACACAGCTCCAGGAAAACCGACCGAGGTGTACAGACAAGAGGTCACACACCCGCAGCTCCACAACACCTGACTCAGGTACACAGACACGGGGTCTCGCACCGGGGTCCACGGTGCGAGGGTCTCGGGGTCTCGGGGTCTCGCTTCACTCACAGCTCCACAACACCTGGCTGAAGTGTACCGACACGAGTCTCACTCTCACAGCTCCACAACACCTGGCTGAAGTGTACCGACACGAGTCTCACTCTCACAGCTCAACAACACCTGGCTGAAGTGTACCGACACGAGTCTCACTCTCACAGCTCCACAACACCTGGCTGAAGTGTACCGACACGAGTCTCACTCTCACAGCTCCACAACACCTGGCTGAAGTGTACCAACACAACTCTCACTCCCACAGCTCCACAACACCTGGCTGAAGTGTACCGACACAACTCTCACTCCCACAGCTCCATAACACCTGGCTGAAGTGTACCAACACAACTCTCACTCCCACAGCTCCACAACACCTGGCTGAAGTGTACCGACACGAGTCTCACTCTCACAGCTCCATAACACCTGGCTGAAGTGTACCAACACAACTCTCACTCCCACAGCTCCATAACACCTGGCTGAAGTGTACCGACACGAGTCTCACTCCCACAGCCCCATAACACCTGGCTGAGGTGCACAGACACAGACACCTGGCCTCGCACTGACACCTTCATACCACCCTATCGAGGAGATACATTGGCAACAGGTCACGCACTCCCAAATCCGTACCAGACGGAGAAGATATTCCGTTAAGTCCCACACAAACGTCTCAGTAGCAACTGAAGAGGGAACGACATCGGCAGCACCTTCGTCCGGGTGACGGGCATCGGGTTCCACATACGCACCCTCGTGCCACTCGATGAAATGGGGATGGGCACTGATGTAACGCCATGTAACACACATACGCACACACGCATCTTTTCCTTCTTCCCCCCCCCCCTGCCGGCACACGATATATATATATATATATATATATATATATATATATATATATATATATATATATATATGTTGCATCTAGGCAATGTCTTTGCACGGGGCTCACGGGTAACGAGTTACCATATCTTTTCTCTGATGCGATTGTCATCAGGGCCCGATTCTGCATGGAATTGCACAGGGATTCTCGTCTGACAATAGATCAGCTGAAACGGGTTAAGTGAAATCAAACGGAACAGACCGAATCCGAGCAGGCCAAGCGCAAGACCAGAGCCTAGCAACGTCCCTGCCCAAGCCTTGCCCAGCCGCGCGCTACACTACGCCATGCCGCCCGTGGCGACGTCTCTGACCTGCTGACACCACCAGGCCGCCCGAGGGGAAGACGAGCACGGCCTCGACCGGCGCGCCGTGCTCCATGACGGCCGTGCAGGCGGCGGCGCGCGCGTCCCACACGCGCACGGCGTGGTCGTAGCCGCCAGAGACGAGCGTGTCGGGCGCGGCCGGGCTGCACGTGCCGGCGCGCACGTAGTCGGTGTGGCCGCTCAGCGTCAGCAGGCGCGCCTCGCCGCCCACGTCCCAGAGCGCCACGCTCCGGTCATCCGAGAAGCTGGCCACGCGGAAGCCGTCGCCCGTGAAGGCGCACCGATGCACCGGCCTGGGGCGGGCGGGGCACGGCACGAGTCAGACAGGCGGCCGAGAGGCAGGCGGGAGGAGAGACAGGCCCGGAGAGGGACGGGCACGGTGAGACGGGTACGGCGAGAGGCAGGCGCGGAAAGAGGCAGGACGAGAGGCAGGCACGGAAAGAGGCAGAACGAGAGGCAGGCACGGAAAGTGACAGGGGGACGAGTGGCAGGTACGGAAAGAGGCAGGACGAGAGGCAGGCACGGAAAGTGACAGGGGGACGAGAGGCAGGTACGGAAAGAGGCAGGACGAGAGGCAGGCACGGAAAGATGCAGGGGGACGAGAGGCAGGGGGAAGAGAGACAGGGGGAAGAGAGGTAGGCATGGAAAGAGGCAGGGGGACGAGAGGCAGGCACGGAAAGAGGCAGGGGGACGAGAGGCAGGGACGGAAAGAGGCAGGACGAGGGGCTAGCACGGAGAGAGGCAGGAGGACGAGAGACAGGCACGAGAAGAGGCAGGGGGACGGGGCAGGTACGGAAAGAGGCAGGATGATAGGCAGGCACGGGAAGAGGTAGGCGCAGCGAAAAGCAGGTACAGCGAGAGGCAGGCAAGGTGAAAGGTAGGCATGGCGCGAGTCAAGCACCGACCGGCAGCGCGGAGGCACCGCAGCGCGCGCGGCGGAGGCGAGCTCGCCAACCAGAGTCTCCCGACGGAAAGTCGGGCAGTCAGAATTTTATGTCATAGCACTTGCAAGGAGCATGTGCAGCACGGAGAAACGATTCGGAGTATAGCCAGTAGAATGCAGAGCAGAAATAATCATGGCAGCTCGCTGTGTTTGTCAGTTAAATATGGCACTGCACGCACTGTAAACGACGCTACCAAGCCCTCTTTTGTCCAACACCAGAAAGGCGTCTGAACGACGGTGATCGTGGGTCTGCGGACGCGCACCGGTGTTCGGCGGTCCACGATCTAATCGAGGCACGGAGTCGAGGCGGGGCACAACTGCGAAAGAGGCGAGGCACGACCGCAAACGAAACCTCGGCCAGCTGACTGGCTAACTCGGGTGCACCGATGTCATCTGGTAGTGACTCATACTCCCATCATAACCAACCAGTACGGGCAGTAGGCCTGCTCCCCAGCTGAAGGGTTTAAGGACAGCGCATTATCTGAATGCTTTCTTAGTAAAGCATGACCACGAGGCCATTTCTGACACAACAGCTACAACAACAATGGCGAGATACCTAAATGTGTATATCCTCACTAAGGAACTCTTATAGAAAACGACCAAAGTCAAAAACAAAAAAGGCGTTGTTGGGCGACTTTGCTGCACCGGTGTGGCCTCTCAAGTCATACCTGTCATGCCCCTTGAACTGTCGCAGCAGATGCTTGTTGTTGACGTCGAACACCCTAACGCTGGTGTCCTCGCTTCCCGCGCACAGCAAACGGCCATCCTTCCTGAACTTGCCGCCGAAGGCCGTCTTTGAGAACTTACTGAGGCCCTTAGACACATCATTGGAATCGCTGCTATAAATCTTAACCTGTAACAGGCAATGCTCTAGTTAGATACATGCAAAGATGCAACTATATGTGGTTGAGCAAAAACATCATGAAGCAATGTGATACATGCATTGCTGAAGACACCTGAAAATCCTGGCAAGGAATAAGCTGCATTATGAAAATAACTGAGCATTTTGTTTACTTCCCTTGATCAGAATCCACATTTACAAGGTACTTTATAATACTATTAGCATACTAAAAGGCATGTCAAATGGAATGAGTCTTGGGGCATGTGAACTACAGTGATTTTAAGCTGTGGCATTCCCCCCCCCCCCCCTCCCTTATTCCACATTTGTCATTGTGGTATATTGCTGGTGTGGCACTTGGCTGAAGGAATATATATATAAGATATGAAGATTGAAAAGGAGGAGGCAGCTACACTAATAAATGGATAGATTTCAAACTGTTGTGAAATGGGTATTATACAACAAATTATTGAGACCAAAGAGGCTTGATGATGTGTATACCAACACAAAGTGAGGTTATTTAACCTTTTTTATCCCAATCTGATCTGACTTTGAGCTTTATGTTCAACATCAACCAAAGGAAGTGTCAAGCCATGTCAAATGTCAACATAAAAAACCCACATTTATTTCATTTCATTTGACTTAACATTTCCTTTCTTTTGGCTGAGGTTAAACACCTAGGGGAAAGGTAAAAGTGACATTAGATGGGTTCAGTGAGGTCAAACCAGCTCACATCACGTTCCTACACACCAATGGGTCACTATTGCAGCAAAGATTTGTTTGAGACCAATCTTGATGCAATGCTTTAAGGTGTTTTTTAACTACTGCTGTACCTCTCCTAACTATGTTCCCCTTTGTTCAAGAGGTACAGTAAGATGTTATCACCAACTTAAGTAGAATCAGCAAGGCATAGGAATGCTAATGGCTTTGTTTCTAGCATCCTAACATCAATGTCAATGTCTGTTTCTAAATGTCTTCCACAGCTCTTCAAAGTGGAAATGGCTTGAGGCTATGAAACTTCAAGCTCCTTTCCCAAATATAAAGCATCCATTAATTTGAATAACAAAATGTCACTGAACCTATTTTGAATTCAGAACCAAACTAGCCTTGATCAACCACATCTTTCTGGTGTTTTTCTGGGACACCCTGGTGTGCAGGTTATGTTATGATGTGTCACATGATTTAAAGAACAGCCACTGTTAATAGATCTATCTATATAAATGGTGTTTTTAGTCATGATGCACAAATATGCTGACAAATGAGCCACAGTGCATAATATAATAATACACTAGCATTCCCTTACATATTACCTTAGCAGAAGCTGTCACTGCAAAATATTCACCATCTGCAGAGAAGTCCACAAAGTCAGCTGATCCAAACTCCTGTATTGTGACTGGAAACTGAAACAGAAAAGTCAAAATATGTAAGTACACAGTCTACTAACTTTAATCTTAACCATACTATAGCATTGTGATCTGAACAATGAATAATTCCAACTGGCATTAGGTTACTGTAAAAGTCACACAAGAGATTCATATCAAAGCAGAATGCAAAAACAAAGAACATTGCTTTAAGGCCTTCAAAACCTCTCTTAATGCAAACCACAGTTCAATAGTCATCTAATAACTAATGCATCTTGCTTACCTGAAAATTTTTCCAGTAGATATTGTCAGGTGTCAGTCCTGTCCCTTGTCTTGGATAAGCTTTGACTAATGTCTTCTTGAAGTCACCCATAATTTTGCACTAAATGAAGATCAGTTGTAGGATACACACTCAAATACGTAGCAGATGTCTGCCTCTTCACATGGTGCCCACCTGAAAGATAATAATAAATCATAACGTGTTAAATGATGGAATACTTATTACATACCTCAAAGTGCCTCATAATGATGCTGGCCAATCTGCATAGAAATGGTATTCAAGTGCAGAATGTACGACTACCTGGGCTACGGTCGCTAAGGCAAAATTCACGCGTATACATAGCTAATGTAAATCACCTGTTTTCTGGAGGCCGAGTCATGGCTATCATGTCAGTCAGCGTAAATTACTGACAGACCAAATCATCGTGTATGCTACGTAAATGTGAAACCACTACTCACGGTATATAGCCCCGCTCACGACCCCACACCCGACCACGTGCCCACCCACAGCCTACCGCTTTTCGTGGCTTAGCGCGCATCGGTCGCATGGTTGTAGTACAATTTATCGCGTGATATTTAATTCACAGTTTGCCCACCAGGGTATATCAGTTCTCTAATTCGCAGACGTGATCTCTGAGGTCTTGGGTATAAGTGAGTAGCTGTGTTCATTAACAAGACCTAAACTAGACAGGGACGCAACTTACCCCAAAGCAGCAAAATACCGATTTCTTCCTAGATTTAGCCTATTTTTATATAAACTCTAAGGGGTTTGACCCCCCACCAACTAAATAGAAAACTACACCCCTGCTCGAGGATTGTTTTCTCCTCAATTGGAAGTAGCTTTTGTGTAGTAGCCGGACCAGAAACTGCTCTCACGCCGTTTAAGTGCACCACAAAGCTGTGCCTGCAGGTTGCGCGATCGGAGGGTTAGCCCGCTCGACAGTTAACCGCAGTTAGCAATGCTGACTGCAATGTTGATTGCTGGCATCGTTGACATTATCTCACTCAATGCCAGATACCAGCGGCACCCGCGATTTTGGCAAGTGTTTTACCCGCCACGGTGCGGGACTCGCTTACCACCGCGGTGGGCATTGTCCGCACAAGCGGGAAGGAGCTAGGGCAGCCCCTGCGCGTGACGCAGGCCCGGTCGCACCGGGGCACCACGTTGCGCCGACACGACAGGGTGGTTGGTTCGGAAACCTGTCGCCAGGCGGCCGTCATCCGGCTTGGCTGCACCGGCGCTGGGGCCGCAACGGGCCGTTTGGTTGCGGGGGCAGGCGTACTAGGCATCCTAGGTGCCGCAGCCGAGCTATGCACAGCGTGAGGAAGCAAACGTCCCATTCCGGGGCGAGCACGAGGTGGGACGTGGTAAACAGCCACTTGGGGTACTCCCTGCCACGGCCTCTCTGGGAAAGGGTCTTGTGGACGGGCTAAAAGGAGGTGGGACTCCACTATGTGGTGGGACTATGTGTCTGCACACCGAAATTTGGCCTGTATGCAACATGAGCTTGGTATCGGTTCATTAGCCAAGCTACATTCTAAGGTGAGTATTTATGTCAAGCAGCTGGAACAAGTGGGCAATAATCTGAACCGCGATGCATAGATGTGGCCAAATGGTGCAATGTGATATTGTGCAGTAACTGCTAACTTGGCGCACTGGCCAACGGCGCGAGGACTTCACAAACGCGAACCGATCTTTTCCGGGCTTCCACACATACCTTGTGGCGAGCAGAGCAAGCATCCAATAATCTGAACCACGATGCATTGATGTGGCCAGTTGTTCCAACGGGACGTTTCGCGGTAATGGAAAGCTTGACGCGCTGGCCAACGGCGCGATAACTTAACATTTAGAGAGTCACGACATCAGGGAGCCCCCTTTATTCGTACGCGGGGCGTTTAACCAAGCGCACACGATGTCAATGGGGGAGGAAGGATTCTCCGTCGGTAATGTAAATCGCGCACCGACTGACGTGACCTTTCTTGTGTAATCACGCCTCGATGACACATTGCTCACTGCCGAAAGACTGTCCGTAGTGTGATAGCCTGTATATGGCATCCCGGGAAACAATGCTCGTGTCGAGTCGGGGGGGGGGGGGGGGGGGGGGGGAGGACTGTGTGCTTTCGATACCATGGTTTATGGTTATATGGATACCATGGTTCGATACCATGATATGGTTTAGAGCTTAAAACGGCAGGGTATATACACACATTATATAATTGTGTTTACACTATCTGCTGGTGATAGAAATCGATCTACAGACATGTTATGTTATGTTCAATTACCCCTTTAAAGAGCATTACCAACTGCTGCCGGTCCGCTGTAGAGCGATGGCCAGGATACATCGGCCTGGGAAAAATACTTATAATCTCGCGAAGATCGTGACTGTGAGCCGGCGATAGTGCTGGTATGCCGGTTAACATTATATTCGGTCGACCTTCCGACAGCATCTCCCCCAGTGCTGGCCGCCGTCCGTACAGGCGATTTGCAAAGTTCCGGCGCCCAATTCGGAATTGGTTTAGTTGTGTTCGGCGGGTGCAGCCAGGTGCGCGCGATACCATTGAGCGAACACTATAAGCCGGTAATATAAATCACTCATAGGCAGACATGACGTTTTTTTTGTTCAAATCACCAAGTCACCAGCGCAATGCTGACTGCGGCCATCATGTTCGCATCGTGGTGGCAAGAATATGGCAGCCCAGAATCTTTAACTTAATTAGCTTAATCACGCATTCGCACGCGGGGTGCCACTACGTTTATTCGAGAGTGCTGGTCTGGGGCAATCAGCTCCCAGTGCACTATACATTTCCGATTAGGGAATCCATTGCATTTGGTCGGTTAGCCTACAGTGTCTCACTATCTTGGCGGGATGGCCAGAGCTGCAATCTGCAAAGTTACGGCGTCCAATTAAAAATATTATTATCAGTGCTCGGCAGGTGCCATTACGTACAAACTATATGATTGTCGATGTATTCTCTGCTAGCTATGTAAATCACATATCAGTCAGCAAAACCTTTTTTAAATCACGCCTTGACGGTGCAATGATAACTGCGAACGGCTTACGCGTAGCGTGATGTTCAGAATGCGGTGGCACGGACACAACTTCTAAGTGAGCGCAAAAAGGTGCGCTGTGTTCCTTCGATAGCGTCATTATAAAGACTTCAGCCGTGAGAAGAAAATACACTTGTTTGCTCAACAAATTTATTTTGTTCCGTCAACCCCCTCCCCCTTCAGCAGTGTCTGAATCTCTCTCAGGGCTGGAAGACGTGCTCCCGGCACCGTTCTGCGAGATCACGGCTCCAATTTGAATTAATTTTAGACTTGCGTGGCTGGTACGACCGTAGGCAACCGATGTCACTGTCGAGGCACTATCGACCCGCAACATAAATCGCTCATCGGTTGACAAAACACGATTTTGCTTCAAATCATCGTTTGACGACGCATTGCTGACTGCGGTCAGCCTACCCAGTCATTCAATAGCGTTTGTAAAGTGCCATCAGCTTCCAGTGCAACACACTTGTCAACTGAACCCTCGCTCTGACTCGCCGTTTTTCATAACGCGTACTGAAAGGGGGTCGATGCGACCTACTGGCGTTTCCAAATCAGTGAAGATATATTTTAGCTAATCATACCAGTGGCTTGGTCTCAACGATATGTTATATGTACTTATTAATAAAAGTGAAATAGATAAATCAGATAATCTTTTGGTATGTTTCTAGGTCAATAATTGCCCCTATTACGTCACATTTTTTTCAAATTTTCCAGAACATCACACTCTCAGCTGTCCAACATCGTACACATGAGACCGCGCCTCGCAGCGACACACAGCGTAATTAGACGTATTTCTTGTTTAATTTTGAGTACAATGGTCATAATTGGATGTGTTTTTGGACATATATTTATCATAAATGCATACATCAACGTAACAATGTCGGCCCGCCGCGCGCGTTCCGAGGCCTCGTGGGTTGCCGCCCGCCGCCCGAGCCAGCCGTAGATCACCGGCACTGCTCCTCAAAAACTGCCGCTGCTGCAAAACCATAAAAGTAAGGAACACGTTCGTGAAGTCAAAGCACGCGCAGTAAATGCCCTAAAGGCTACTGAAAATTTGGGCCGAACTGCCCAACATGCCGGAGAGGCATTTTTCGAAAAACTTTAGGGGAGCGCATCGCCCCCACCCCTTCTAATGGCAAGGCTTGCACTATTCAGTTTATACGATCAACCCTGCAACAGCGTCTCACTGAATGCCGGAAGCCGTCCTCAACGGTGATTTGCTAAGTTCCGACAACCAATTTAAAATATTTATGTATTTGTACACCGCGGGTGCTTAAATAAGACCATGGTATCACCGTGGAAGCATTATCGTCCGGAAATGCCAATTGCGCGTCGGTCGACATGGCTTTTTCTAACCATTCATTGGCAAATTGCTTACTGCGGCCGGCCTGCGTGTGGCGTGAGGGCCAGACTACGGCACGGGAAGAATGATTTAATTGCGCGAAAGAGAGCAGCTATGTTCATACGATAGCGTTGGCATGGTGCTATCAGTCGGCGGTGCAACACCCTCTTCCGTTTTTGGTTTCCATTTTTCGGTCTACGCGCCGAAAGCGTCTCTGTGAGTGATGCCGGCCGGCCGCACGGGCACATTGCGATCCTATAGCCTCTAATTTAAAATTATTTTTGCCGGGTACAAGCGTACACACACGACGTCTTAGTGAGAGTTTCGGTCCGCCCTCCCCTCACAAAATCCTGGATCCGCCCCTGCTTGGAACCAATGACTGCGGATAACCGCTGTGACCCAAAGATGCGATTTTCTGGTGGTTCCCCCGCACATGACAGTAGCTAGTTCATCATTAGGAATTAGGATATGTTATCTGCCGTTGCCGCGCAGTGTCGCGCCCGGTTAAACAGTTTCCCCGTATAAGAATAACGACAAAAGAATCTGAACATTGAATGGCAGAAATCCAGAACGTGGGGATGGGACGGCACCAAATTCCAGGTAGCATTGGCACGTCGAATACGCCTATCAAGTTTTCAACAGATTGAGATGCTTGCCTGGATTCTGATCAATATTACACAGCTGGGAACTCTCGAGTGATCAGAGAATCTGCGCCCCTCGAAGCCGAACTATCACTTGTGCCAAGGACAGGAAGTTTTGTCACAGCCAAACACCGACCAGCGAGCGCGGCGAGTTACTTTCGACAAGGCCTCACATTCTGATGCTGGATCACCGAACGTGGGGTCAATCAAAGTGCGCTCGTCCGGTCTGATGTGCAACAAATTGTGTGATGTGCTATTTCCGCATATTTGTCTCTTTCCCGAAGAGTGAGGGCGGCTTCCGAGATGATGTATTTGCTTCCATATTCCTTCACGCAATTCCTGCGCGTGAAAGACGAAAGTGCAAAGTAGGCAGGAAATGTAGGTGGTATTTTGATAACCGGCTTACAAGACTGCGAACCTGTTTGAGCGGGGTAGTGTACCACTGCGGTACCATATGTGTGTTGTCCAACATAGGCCTCATATATTGTGTGTAGTTGGTCGCCTTGTTATCATTAAGTGGCACGTAACTTCATTTATTCTGTACACATAGGCATCGCTTGCAGTGATTGGGTCTGATTGCAAATAGGTACTGAGTGTGGCACATATTACCTGTTGGATCCTGGGCAGGTGATTGAATTGCCATTCTGTAACTTGGGGCTTAACTCTTCTCTCCAAAAGTGTCCCTTACAGAACATTTATCCACATCATATTGGTGTGTTTGGGCTACTTATTGAGTGATCATAGGTTTGTGTGAGTCTTGACACATTGTATTATTTGTTGTATGTTCCATGTTGCAGCTTACATGGAAACTGATTTTGGATGGGTTTTTGCTCATGCCAACATATTTTTCTCTGGTGAAAATGAGTCCAATTATTGGTTGTTGATGCACATAAAAAACCAACACTATTGAAATATTTCCCTGAAACCTTTTTCACTTAAGTTACCAACTTTCAAATTATTAAAATGGCTGTAGAGATTTTCACATCTCTCCTTCATGGAAACTGAAAACTACACATAATAGACATATTGCCAGTCACATTCCAGCTCTGGGTTACTACTAAGCTAATGGCTGTCCTACTCAGATATGTTACCTTACTTTGCACCATTTATAACAGGATGTGGACCTGAAGATAAAAGCCGTGAGTTTGGCTCTGAACTTTGGTGGTAAATTTGCTCCAAGTTTACAAGAAGAGGACTTTTTTCTGAAAACATCTTGTTACATAACAACACCATTGTAAGATTGGCTGCCTTTAAATTAAATGCCAATTCAGTTATCTGTTGTATTTGGATATACATCATCACATAACATGTATTAGGTTGCATCATGTTGAATAAAGCTGTTGATTGAATTGGCCCCAATTTTTTCTGATAAAACTGTGGGGCCGAGGATTAGATATGAGCAGTGCGCTACAGTTTTTGTAACAGGCCCCACCCTATTCCTAAACACCTTTTTATTGACTTTCATCATGATAGATTTGACTGCCATGTTCAACGTATTGGTGTGGGCTTCACGGGGAAGGGAGTGAAGAAGGGACGAGTAAAGAGAGCATTGTTTAAAACCCTCTCACTTCTCATTACCCTATGTTGCAAAGCTATCATATGTTGTGCCATAATTGGGGGTTTGGAGGGGCTGCCTCCAGCCTCACTTTCCACACTACCACCTTACATTCTGCATGTTTCCATGCAGAAACTTGGATTTGTGGTGATGGGGAACTTCTTCAAGGAAGCATCCTTTCTGACTTGCTAGTGGGAACCCACTCCCAGTTGTGGGATTTGGGGTTCACATCATTGCTGTGACCAGACAGCACTGGGAAAGACTTTGTTTGTCACCCAGTGTTGCAGCCTGGTATAATTTTGGTAGCATGATACCTTCGCAAAATGATGTGATGGCATAGACAGCCACATGAAGACAAGCATTTGTGCAAATTACTTTTATGCATTGCACATTGGAATGTCTTTTGCATGACATTTGTGTATCTGTCAGTTACATGTCATTTAGTGCTATATCCATGCCTGCATCTGAATAAGTTACATGCCCTTGCTATCATTGGAGGCTGGAAATTGCTTCATTACTACAAACAGGTGCTTGATATATATATATATATATATATATATATATATATATATATACATATATATATATACTAGCCAGATTTTTGTGATGTTTTGAATATTGCCTGTGACTGGGACACCCAAAGCTAACAATTTTTGCACACCCTTGTAACAAATATACACCCCAGCTGTGTTGTAATTTATGAACCATTAAAAATTATCTTGTGAGGGTTTGTGGTGAATCTGATGTAGACTATATGAAGCATCATGTAGTTTAGTGCCAGTAGGATTTTTTCAAGTTCTTTTTCTGCATGACATGAGTTTGATGAGGGGCTTAAAGGGAAAGTATTACTGTTGCCCTGTTTCAATTTAACTTAAATATTTCAGCAACTCCCTTGATCATCAACATGGCAGCACATGAAGCACCTGAGCTGGAAGTGGAAGAGCCCCCTCCAAAGCCTCCTGACAAAAGCAAGCTGGAAAAAGACAAAAATTTGTTGACAGAACAAATAAAAAATTTAGAGGATCAACTGGTAAGAGCTTGTGCCAACTGATGTTTCTTTGTCATTTTTTATGGTCCACTTCCATGTATGTGTCTGTTTGGACAAAACTGCATCTACTAAAGCAATGTTTTGCAAAAATATTATTTTTGTAAGTTACAACACAGCATAGGCGTGAAAACGCCCTTTGCCAAATGTCATCCACTGGGCAGCCTTTCACCCTGCTACGGCCTCCTTCCTCGCCAAGATGGGCCTTGACCCAGTCTGATCCAGCCTGACCCCGACCACTGTCGGCTTGGCCGAGCCCCGACGGCCCGTGTGCCCGCGCCCGTCGGCGGTCGGCGCTCAGCAGCAGTGCGGTGGTCGTGACCCGCGGCCTGTGCCGACGCTGATTGTTGCGTGTTGCCCGCGCCGTCGGCGGCGGCGCTCCGCAGCAGTGTGGTGGTCGTGACCCGCGGCTTATGTCGACGCTGAGTGTTGCGTGTGCCCCGCGCCGTCGGCAGCGGGTGCTGTAAGACCAGCGGCGCGGCGGCCGGCCGGCTGCAGCAGCTGGAGACGGCGCGGCGCGAGCTGTGCGAGCTGCACCGACAGACGGACGAGCGGGCTGCAGGCGCTGGCGCCCCGCATCACCGAAACGGTCAGCACCGGCGCCAGCATCTGCTCCGGGGGCTCACCGAGGCCCCACCGTCCCGTGGACATCTGGCATTAGTCCATGTTAGCCAACTCCTTTGCAGCCCAGCCTCCGAGCTGTCCGCTGACGGTGGGCGATGTTAGATTAGTGATCCACGCAGGTATCTGCGAAACTCTAAACAGGCGCAGTGTCGTGCGCCTGGTTTTCTGTAGGACCACGGACAGGCTGTCTTTTGGCGTGATTTGGAACTCGAGTCTTCAGTGTTCGAGATGGAACGCCCCGCCGACCAGACCTCTGACGTACACCGATCTTTTGGCGGACACTGTCTGGGCTCTGACGTCCACACCGATCTTTGACGGACACGGTCTGGGCTCCAGCGGCACGCGATCTTCAAGCTGCGCGACAAGCTCAAGTACCGGACGGCGCAGCAGGTGGACGATGCCGTGCTGCGGCTCGAGAAACAAGTACAAACGCAAAATTTCAAGCTCAGGGAGGAGGAGAAGGTGGTCCGTGAGATCAACGACCTGAAAAAATCCAAACGAACGCTTCGCGAATACGACGCCAAAAAGGTAGCGGCACTCGGGATAATCATGGCCTCGCAACGGGACCGGGCCTTGCGCATGCGTAACTCCTCGGTCGGGACGGCATCTTATCCCCGATTCACACATTGTTTTCTGTCCAGTTGCCCAGTGTATGTTCCCGGTCGCGCTACTGATGCATGTCTCCAACTCGTTTCTTCAGAAAGAGCTGGACGCGCTGACCCAGAACCAGCGGGGCCTGCGGTACGAGCGTGACCGTCTGTACGGGGAGATCGGACAAGAACAAGCGGGAGGAGGAGCGGATCCACCGCGAGGCACAGTCCACTGCGGCCAGCATCAAAATGCTGGACGAAGGTTAGTGTCCGCACGTGTCACCACAGTTGCTGGCATCATGGACACCATCCTTTGCGATGGCGTAGTTGAAATGCTCACGCTTAGGATGCATTGTTTCGCCGTTGATGCTGTTAAATAGATAGAACAGAGTATTAACGCAATCGTATTATAAATAGTGCAGCGGTGACAGCGTTTGACTGCCAATCTGCGCATATAGTTGCCTGCTCGTCGGTTGGCCCTGACGCAGCAACCGCACCATCAGCCGTTTGGCGTCGCCGCGCCGCCGCGAGAGTGGGCCGGCGGTGCCCTTGAGGCGCGTCCCTCGCGTAACGGCGCCACCGCCATCCCGTCCGGCAGAGCTGGACGGCTGCGGCGTCAACGACAGGCGCTAGACGCCCCTTTAACCAGGAGAGGCTGGACGCCTGGCCAGGCGTGGCAGCGGCAGGGCGGGCGGGCGCCGGCGCCGACCGCCAGCGCGAGGAGCCGGCGCGACCGCCGCCGCCGCCGGCGGCCGCCGCGCCCCCGCCAGCCGCCCGAGCCGTTCCTGCAGGAGCTGGAAGGCACAGTGCGTCCTGCTGCTGACGTACCTGCAACGGCTGTCGCACACGCGGGCACCACTCCGGCCACACCCTCGGCCCATCTGATGCCCTCCGGTCAGTCCCCGGTCGCTGCCGCCCTAAAGTGGTGGCACGGTTCTGGGAGGCGGGACCTGTGGGGTGTCGGGCAACTCTTGCAGGGTAGACACATTGGGTTTCTTGTGATCGTTTGCCTAACGGGGCGCAACGGAGAGTTGGCTCTATGCCTTAAGGGGGCGCAACGAAAGAGTTGGATCTATAGAGTGCGTGCTTCTGCGTAGCACTACCATCGAAGCTGCTTGTAGGGATCGGTAGATTGGGAATTTTGTTCAGTAGTGGGTAGAACTGCGATGTTATGTTGCGTAGACGGGAAACCAAAATGTCTGAATGCATTTGGTTCTGCGTCCTGAGGCTGTGACGTGGTGGTTCCCTTCGGTGAATGACCCCATTGCACAGCGGCCAGCTGGGCCGTCTCGCCCGGTCTGTGACAGCGCTCCGTGTGAGCCGCCGCTGACCTCCGGTGAACCTGACCTCTGACCCACCGCTGACCTCCGGCGAACCTGACTGACCCACCGCTAGCCGGCGAACCTGACCCCTGACCCACCGCTGACCTCCGGCGAACCTGATCTCTGACCCGTTGCTGACCTCCGTTGGACATGACCCCTGACCCACCGCTGACCTCGGCGGTCTGACCTCTGACCGGCCGGGCCGCTCTCGTGACGCAGGCGGCTCCACCCCGCTCAGTCCGCGCACGCCGCTGGCTGATGCCGGCCAGACGGAGATTCCGGACGCCGACGGCGGGCCCACCATGTTCCTGCTGCGCCGGAAGGAGGAGGAGCCGCCGCCGCCCGCCGCCGCGCTAGGCGGCGCCGGGAGCGACGCGGCTCGCAGCGGGTGCGTGGTCCGCCCCATCTGCCAGCTGGCTGGCTGGCCTGGGTCTCGTCGGCCGTGCGTCTCGTCTCCCGACCGGTTGCGGTCACGAGTGCTGCTGCGGGACGGAGGGGCCGGAGGAGAGCCGTCCTGTGGCTGCTCTAGTGCGCCTTTAAGAGTGCTTCGTAGTCCAGAGTGTATAGAGGAGTCGATTGTGCCCGGAGCTCTTGAAGCCTCGCGTCGTACCGTTGCTTTTACCCTTAAAAAGAAGTGGTGTTGGCGTATTGTTTGTACAGTTCTTGGCATGCGTGCTGGCTGCTCGCATCTGAAAATACGACAGTTTTTCGAGTGTTTTCTTGCCATTGACTGGAAACATGCCGAGTGCAGTTTCCTGTCCCTCGTATAACCTTCGCTGCATGCTTGATGTAACCTCGAAGGCCCACAGCTTCCTTTGTGGTGCTGCAGAAGCTGGCATTGCCTGACAAAATCGCAACAACTTAAGAACAACTTAAGGATGTCATCACAATCGCTCCCTATTTTCGCACTCGCCCTGGCCGGCTTTGTCCGTCGGTGCTGACCCCTGCCCGGATGATGACCTGGTGTTGACCTCGGCCCGGTGCTGACCTCGGCCCGCAGGCGCGGCCCCTGACACACACCTCGGAGGTGTTCCACCAGTTCTGCCTGCTCGACCTCCAGCCGCCGACGTCGCACAAGGAGGTGCCCGCCGCAGTGGAGCAGGTCAAGGCCAAGCAGGTCAGTCGGCCGAACCGAGCCGTGCAGCCGGACCGGCTATGCTGGCGCATGACGTGGTAGAGCTCAGCCTTTGGTGCTGCTCAGTTGTATGTAATCACAGTGGCCAATCTGTTTGTTTTATTTTGTTTATGAATTGCAATGAACCTTTCTTATAAGGAGCATTGTTGTGGTGGTGGGACGGCGGATTGTCTCGACGGTTGGTGACGTTCCCCTGCATTTACCGCTAAATGTTTAGCCTACCCCGGAGTGCTTGCTGTTCCAGAAATACTTCCAGATGTGCGCTCAGAAGGCGAGGCAGGACCGCTGCGAGAGAGCGGCCATCTCTGGCGGCGGCGGCGGCTCCGTGCCGCACCTCACACTCCGGCTCAACTCGACGTCACTGGGTGACGCACCGACCCGCACGCCGCCGCCGGGCGAGTTGGTCACGCTGCACAGCATCGGCGTCCAGCTACCCTACCAGATGACGATGGCGGCGCCGGCCTCCTACCAGCCGCAGTTGTCGCTCGAGAGCAGCGCCTCGTGCCCGGCCGCCATGCCGTCCGCAGAGTCGGCCTCGTCGCGGCCGTCGAGCCGCGACAGCGGCGTGCCGTCGGCGCCGCTCAGTGCCGAGGCTACCGAGGCCGAGCGCGACCCGTTTGCTGAGGCTCTGCAGCGCCGGCTGGGCACCGGCGCCAGCGACGCCCAGCACCAGCCACAGACACTAGAGGTTCCCATCGCCGCGCGGGAGGGCAGCATCAGCGCCACTTGAGAGGCGCGCAGCAGACCCCGGGAGAGTTCATTTGAGCAGTTTTACGGAACATGGGTGTGTTGCTGGAGGCGGAATTCTTAATTTATTGTTCCCAGGACTTCTTGCACTGGTACGCTACCGTGTGAATTATGTGTTACATATGGTATTCATGGAAACGTTTCGCAGTGCATTTGAGCATTCCTTGGTCAGTAATCAGTATTGCTCTACCATCTACGTACTTGTCCCGTGAATCGTTGCATCACTGCCAGCCCCTTCAACACGTGTCAGCGTGTCGTCGCAAAGCATATATCATGGCGGGTGACAGCCTGGGAGGGAGTGGAGGAGTGGGAGGGAGGGGGCGATAGCCAGAGAAGTTCACCGGCACAGCGGTTTTGAGAACGGGGTTACTCGGCATGAAACACTTCTACGGGATTGCGCCGCCAGATGCAGAGCGTTTCATCGCTGTTTGCCAACTGAAATAGTATGTCATACGCGTGTCGACGTTCGAGCATGTACTGCCTCCCACGGACTGTGACCTGGAATGTAGGCCTGGTGTGAAGCGCATGCCCCACAGGTCTCCTGGCTGTCTTGAAGGTGTGTGCGTAGCAACGTGCAGCCCGCTGTCCCGGTGATACGATTTTATAAGAGCACGTGCGAGCGTGCAATGAATTGGACCGTTAGCTGTAAAGAGCGACCGCTGAAGCGACGAACGTCGTCGAGTGCTCGCTGCTGATAGGCTTCCGAGTCACAATGTGGTAAACTGTGACGCGAGGCTATTGATATGAAGTGAAATGTCATTAGTTAACGGAATTCCTTTCGCTTCAGTGTAGAGTTTCTCGCTCAACTTCGTGGCAACACAAATTTGCTGAAGTGATTCTTAAAAAATATTACGTATCGTATGTGTTTATTCGAGCAGTGTGAGATAACCAGCCGCGGCGTCTCATGTAAAAACGCCGCAACGGTATATGTTTACATGAATAGCCTCAGGTCGTACTGGACGGGTCACACGCATACAACGAGCCTTCGGCGCCGACGCTGGAGCCATGTGCGGACCGAGCGGGGCTGGGGCCTGGCTTGGGCGACATGGCAGGGGTATTCCACGGTCCGGGCACCTGACACGGCGCAACGGTCACACGTCAGCTGGGTTGTGTTTCCACCGACCATCAAGCATGAAGCTGCGCTGTGTGCGACGTGTTCTTTGATTTCGCTGTCTGTTCTGTACTTGTTTAGAGAGATGACGTTGACCTGCGGTTGTCAATGCAATGATCTGGGCTGTGCCGATCGAATCGCGTTGGGTCGAAACCGATTACTTTTGAGCGAGAACGTGGTGATGTTCTTAACAAGCGATCAAACAGCATTGTTTGCTCGGCATCCTCCGCCAGGAACAATATATTCGCCCTGATCCTTACA